GTAGGGGAGGGGGAACTTCTGTTCGGAGCAAACCAAGCAGTTTCCTTCTTTCCCTTTCCTTCCTGATGCTGTTGCTCCTGGCTCCGCCTTGCCAAAAAACCCCTCCGGCTTCTCCCATTCCTTGGAACTGGAGCTTGGGAGGGGAAGGAGGGATTTCAAGGGAGTCAGGAAGGGAGGAGGGAGTGGCACTGAGACCCGGAGTGGGGTGCAGGACAAAGCAGCCACCCCTCCACTTGGGGGGGAGGGGGCAAGTGGGGCTGGGGAAGGCTCCTGCCACTCCTCACTCCCAGATGTGGAGTTCATGCCCCTTTGCCACACTGGAGGGGTGTGTGTGTGTCTCTCTCTCTGACCAAGCGGGAGCAGTTGCTGTGCGTGTCTGTGCCTCAACGGGGGACCAGCTGGGAGAAGAGTGAACACCCATCTCCTTGCCCCCAGGGGTAGGGCATGTACCAGGGATGGAGCCTCAGGGGATCCAACTCCCACCTATCCCCTTTCTCCCCCCAACATGTGTCTCCCTGTATCTTCCTCCCTCTCACTGCCACATAGAGTATCAACATTTCTCCTCCTCCTCCCACCTAGCTACAGTGGCAGCGGGGCAGGTGGCAGTTTTGGCATGGGGATGGGAGCAGGAGTACCCTTGGGGGTTGATGGATTATGGCAGCAGGGTGGGCAGCTACCATGGCAGTGTGGTACAGGGGCAGGGGCTGCTGCATAAGTTTACACATGGCAGCAGTGCATAGGAAGCATGGGAAGCAGGAGCTCCCTTGCAGCCATGAAGGTTGGGGCTGTGGCATTGAGGGCCCAATGGGGGGCCCTGCAGAGGCTCTGGATTGGGGGCGGTGCAGAGGGAGCAGAGCAGCAGTTGCTGTGGCAGCAGTCTCACTGCTTCTACCTCTGCAGGGGCCCCCATTGCACCAACAATGCCAGGGCATGGACTCTTGTGGCTGCAGGGGGCTCCTGCTTCCTGCGCTGCATCTCTACCTCCACCACATGTAAACTCGTGCTATAGGTTGGGAGGGGAAGGCGGCCAGAGCCTCATGCAGACCAGTGCCTGCAGCAGGAACTGCAGAAGAGGGAGAGGAGGGTGGGGGTGTTTAGGGGCTCAGCTCCTCCATGACCCTGGAGGCACTCACCCTGCTATGCACCTCAGCTCATGTCTCGCTCTGTCACGGGCTGCAGCCCTGGGACCTGGAGCCAGAACTGGAGCCGCTGCTGCTGCAGCTGGCTCCTCCCATATTGGGGAGGAGGGAGGGAGAAAAGCAAAGAACTCCAAGAGCCAGACAGATTCACTTGGTGGGCTGGATCTGTCCTGTGGGCTGTATTTTGCCCACCCCTGGTCTAGCTGCATCCTCTTTGGAACCACCCTTCAGGTAGTTGAAAGCTGCTATTAAATCCCCTCAGTCTTTTTTTCTCCAGGCTAAATAAGCCCAGTCCCCACAGCCTTTCCTCATGGAGCTGGTGGGTGATGGCAGCAGGTGGCTGCCATGTGCCCCAGCTCCCTAACCATTTTTGTTGCTCTTTGCTGCGCTCTCTCCAATTTATCTACTTCCTTTCTGTAGTGGGGGGACCCAAAACTGGACACTGTACTCCAGATATGGCCTCACCAGTGCAGAATAGAGAGGAAGAATTACTTTCCTTGACCTGCCAGCAACACTTCTCCTAATGCAGACCAGTATTCCATTTGCATTCTTGGCAACAAGGGCACACTTGGCTTATATTTAGTTTACTGTCCACTGTAATGCCCAGGTCCTTTTCTGCAGAACTGCTGCTTAGCCAGCCGTTCCCAGCCTGTACCAGTGCATGGGATTGTTCTGTCCTAAGTGCAGGACATTGCACTTGTCCTTACTGAACCTCATGACATTTCTTTTGGTCCAATCCTCCAATTTGTTGAGGTCCCTTGACAAATTTTGATTGAGAAGTTATGTTTGACACCCATTATCAAAAATGGTAGAATATAATTAGTTTGGTCTGGAGAAGGCTGCTAAGGTTTTTCATTTGTCCTTGGTGACCTGATCAAGTTATACAGTTTCTATTTAGAGTTATACAGAGAAGCATGACTAGACAAACCAAAAGTTCCAGTATACAAGTCTGTAACTCAGAATATCATTTCCTTGCTTGAAGGCTGGGAGAAGAGAGAACAATACAGAATTTTATGGCACGGACTGCAGAGGAAAACAAAAATTACATGAAAATAAGTGACAGAAAAGGACCCAAGTACAGCCAGGTTACAAATACAAGCAGGCTGTTATCTGATAGGATTGCATTTCAAAGTTATATGAAGTTATATAGGGAATCTGCCACGCAACTCCCTCTAATTATTAATGAGACTTGCAAAGCTAAATCCTTGGACAAAGTACAGGATTTATCACAAAGGAATATAACTTATTTTAACTTAAATTAGCTGAGCATATCAGCCAAAAAAACATTTTGCTCAATTATGTAATAAACCTCAAAGCCTACTATAGTGAAAGCTTCACTGAATTGGCTGTGATTTTGTGTGTGTGTGTGTGTGTGTGTGTGTGTGTGTGTGTGTGTGTGTGTGTGTGTGCGTGCGCGCGCATATGCATGCACACGCGCTGAAGTCAAGTATCTTTCGATCTACTCTGTTTCTGTAACAGGACCATTTCCTCGTTTTATAGGACAATATTTCATGACCTTATCTTTAATAATCCAAATCTTGAAGAGTATGAAAAAAAATCCAACATAAAAAGCCAAAGAAACAAAACAGAAGACATAAAGCACCCAAAGGAATAAACGTGGCAGAGGTATGACCAGATGTAATATCCACATTCAGCAGTCGTGCCCAGCCACAGCATAATTTAAAGAAAAGAATACAAGGGGAGAAAAACAAAACCACAAATGCAGCATCTGCCTGATATGCACAAACAGCTGTTAACACTGTTTGGAATGGTTTAGGAATAGGGCATCCTGCCTCTGTATAGGGGGTGCTGGAAGAGCCCCTCCAGCCCTACAGTTCTAGGAAGACTATATCCCACCCCCTTGAGGATTGCAAAAGCATTTGTGTACATAAAATGGACATGGAAGAAAATGAGATTTCATACAGGAGCAAGTCAGAAACTGTACTATTGAAGGATGGCAGCCACTCCAGATGCCTACACGCATCTTAGAAGAGGTGTCAATTTCAGAGCAAACTGAGCCTTGCCCAAGCTGCAGATGCTTTAAGAGGTGCAATAAAGCATATCAATAGAGAGAGAAAAATTGGGAAATTACTGCCTCTGTGTCAGTGACTTAACCAAAGGGGAGAGGGAAAAAGAGGAGATGACAACTTAAGAAAATTAGGGGAGATTCACTCTTTATTAAAGTGTGGGACACATCAGAAATGTTATGTTTGATTTTCTCTAGTTTTGGTAGATCTCTTGAAGTCTCAGAAAATGCATATAGTTAGCTCTTGTGCAAAAACTGCGTTAACAACAAACTCTCCCTGTGCCTGAAGAAGGGTGTTTGTACCAAGACGCTTACAAAGAACAATCTTTCCAACTATTTAGTTAGTCTAATAAAATATCACATTTACCTAAAGAACCTTGGCTGCATGTTAGCAGTAATCTTTTTAACCAACTAGTCATTAGAGCCAAACAGGTGATGATAAAAAGTAGGCTGACACCCAAGATTTTAACTTTAGAACTAAAACTTCTTTCCTCTCATTATTTCTCAGTTTTCAGACCTTTATCATGTCAGAATTACACTAATTCTTCAGAAGCCAGAACACCTTTCAGGGTAGACAATATCTAGATTTCTAATTAAAAAACCAGAACTTTCAAAAAATCATGCTAGACTAGGTTCTCTCTCTCTCTCAATAGGAGGGGATCAGGCAGGGAAATTTTGCTGGGGGACAATGTGAAACCACATCATTTATTTAAATGAAGTTTGATTGTTCTAGTATTAGCCTTAATCTTTGCAGGCAGAGCAGAAAATGTGCAATTCTCCCAATACCTCCCTGTAGGCATGCTTTTGTAACTTCCATTATAAGAGCAGCTTAGATAGTCTTTTGAGTGTGCACAAAAGTGATCATTTAACTTTAAAAATGTGCCCTGCAAAATCTAGCAATGACACAACTCGCAAACTTTTAGGCTTCCTCTAGCTGCACTGCAAATTCCTACCAATTTCTTCTTTTGCTCCTATAGCTTAAACCAGTTCCTTGCATGTAGTAAGATAAATTGGTGCAACATGTAAGGTTCTAAGACATGGTACCTTTAAAGGCTATTATACACTAGGGATGCAGCCTTCATTCAAAAAGGCTGTTTTACATCTTTGCATTCTTCAAATAATTGAGGGACAATTCATGCAGAATCATTTGACAGATAAACCAGGCCTGAAACTGTCCCAAAAAGAGAGATTTACCAAATCTGGCCCCTGAGAGAGATGCCTGGAGACAGAGTAGAACAAAGAACTTATGAACTTGATGTCTGCACCTATCTATATCCCATACAGGTGACAGACAATACACAGTAAGCCAACATGTGCGTTGATGGTTTAGTGTTTTACAATATAATTTCTCAGCAATACTTTTGGCATGAAATAAATGCTTTGTAGGCTGGCTGGCTGCTCACTGTTTAACATTGTAATTATCTGAGGAAGCAAGAGCGAAACAGCAGGTGCTAAGCGAAAGGTAGACTTGCTAAGCTGATCACGGTGAATGGCAAGTCAATTACTGGTCTAGAAACTGCAGTCAGGAGGGAGGAAATTGATGGCAGGAGACCCGAGATCAGGATGGCCTGGAGGAGAACAAGGGGAAGGTAAAGTGTAGCTAATGCTGACATTGTGACAACTGGAAAAAAGACTATTTTTGCCAGTAAGGCTACTTTTACATTTGGGGCTTTCCCGTAAAAGTGCAGAATAAGCATTAGTCATGACTAGAAGTTAATCCATTTGACACAAACAGAAAAAGAAGAGAAAAAAAAAAAAGGCAAATTGGAAAACTTTTGAGCAAATCAACTTCCAGACAGGAACACCCCACAAAATCTTTTGAAGAGCTCATTTACCTTGCCAGAAGCACACAGTCAACATTTTTTATCTTCCCCAATATCAAAGCATCTGATGGCTGCAAAACAAGTAAACAAGAAATAGTTGCAACACACCAATGAGATCAGAAGCCTTAATTACTCTGTGACGATGAAAAAAAAATTAACTGCTGTACTTACTTTCATTTGCATTAGTAAACTACCTGGAATGGAAGATTTGGCACATTTTGAAACCATAGGGAACACCATTTGGGTATAGCAAGCTAATATAAGCGCCAACCACCTATATAATACAGCTGTTCAAATATGCCATACATACATTAGACATCAAAATATGTTTGAATTACCTTGAAAAATTCTTGTCCTTGCAGTTTTGTTTTTCCATGCTGCCACTGCTTATTTTAACAAAAACAGATGGCATCCCTTCATTGAAAAAATCTCTTTTTAGCCACTTTATATTTTTAAAAAATACTATATTTTTTCATGGGAATCCTGCAAGTCGGAGGCACACATGCGCAGACGAAGATACACAGTTAACCCTGCAAATAATACTGTTTATCTTGTTACAGCAATATTTGGGTTAGGCTGCTACAGTCTGAGAGACATCTGCAAGTACTGAGATTTTGTAGCTAGATTCCCTTCTGCTAACTTCTCCTGTGCCACCTACCTTAACCATAATCTCTTATACCCTTTACTACTGTAAAACATTTTATATTTACTTATACGTTAGTGGCCATGAAAATAACACAGTGGAAAAGGTAGGATTTTTGAGGACAAGCATTACACTGGTTACAAAGAGGATGGGGTTAGACTCTTCTCAGTGGTGCCAGATGACAGAACAAGGAGCAATGGTCTCAAGTTGCAGCAAGGGAGGTTTAGGTTGGATATTAGGGAAAAAAAACCTAACAGGTGGGTAATGAAGAACTGTGACAGGCTGCCCAGAGAAAATGTGGAATCTCTATCCTTGGAGGTTTTCAAGACCCGGCTAGACAAAGCCCTGGCTGGGATAATCTAGTTGAGGATGGTCCTGCTTTGAGCAGGGGGGGTGGACCCAGATGATCTTTGAACCCTAATTTTCTATAATTCTACACAAGGAAAGGTTATTCAACTACACATCCAACTAACCTGTTATTCTACAGAATCACAGGAAAACAGAGGTGGAAGGGACCTCAGGAGGTCATGTGGTCCAAACCACCCTAGCCAACTAGCTCTCTAACCTGCACTTAAAAACTTCCAGTGATGAAAATTCTGCAACCTGTTTAAGTACCCTCTTCCAGGGCTCAGCCACTCTTATAGTTGGAAAGTTCTTCCTAATATCTAACCCAAGTCTCCCTTATTACAGTCTATTAACACAAGGGACAATTAACTGCCATCCTCTTTGCAACAACACGTTTTGTATAGGAAGACGGTTATCAAATCCCCACCTTGGTGTTTGTTTCCTCAGACCAAATAATCCTAGCTCTTCCAACCTTTCCTTCTACACGGCATTCATGAGACCACTGATCATTTATATTCTGACTTGCTCTCTGACAAGCCCAGTATTTCAAATCAATTCCCAAATTTATCTAACAGTGGTACTCCCTCCATCACAGAGAAATATCATTGCTTGAAACAAACCTATGTAATCTAGTAGGTATATTGTCTTTCTAGCTCTTATCCTTGAAATGTTATTAAACTTATTAAACTTATTAAAAAGTTTAGGAGCTTTTCAGAGATGTTGATTTCTAGTTTGTTGACAAAAATAAATAGAACTGCAAGCATTACTGATTTCTTAAATTCTGGCTATTACTGTTGTAGCTGAAACATTGCATTAATGTTTTAAACCCACTTCTGGGTTATCTTGGGTCTTCAAACAAACACGCCCATTTATAAAATGTTTAATTCTACTTATTCCTTCATGATAAAAAATCTAATTAATTAATTAATTATTAACATATATTTTTAAAATGTCCACATTCATTTTAAGAAATACTGTGCTGTCAAATATTTGGTATAAACATTTTGTAATTTCATGGTATGTGCACTATTTCAGTTGTCATTTGACTTTACATGTGCTGTTTTATTAATGCATCACATACTGGCCCAGAGTTAGTATGATTATCGTCACATCTGAGTCAGACATTCTTTCACCTTGCTGCAGTCCTTGAGAAACACCTATCATACAACTCTATTTGGCTGTTTTCATCATATGACCCATTTCAAATGTCACATTTTATTGGACCACCTATCACATTTGTAATTTTTCTGTCAATCAGTTTCAGAGAATTATGTTTTTTTACAAAAAGGGAATGTTCCAGAAATTTTATTTTTAGAATAGCAGCATATCCTGAACCTTTAAAAGAGTCCCCCTTTAATTTTAGTCTGCTAACATCTGAAACATTAACACTGTTATTTCCCTTATCAAATCCTTACACACTATTCTGAACCAGATGTGGCTTTGGAGAACAAAACATATTTGGAAGCCTGAGAGAGTAAGATCTACTGAAATTCTCTCACTCACACCAAAACAAAAAATGGGAAAATAAAAGACTTGATTACTGCATCTATCAATATCCCACTGCAGTCAGTGGCTCGGTGGGACTGATGCAGGGATACAGGGCTGACACAGAAGCAGTAGAGTAGGTCAGATTTGAAGTTGCAAAACAGTCTGACCTTGGATTACCTTGACTTTGGATAGCCATTCTATTTGCATGTAGGCCTGCTTCAACCTGCAGGCTTAATGACAGCAACTGCTATGTCAAGCAGTAAACAACTGTACAGCACATATCTTAGGCATGCTCACTGAGAACATACATTTCTCATCACGTATGGTAAACAATGATCATGTGAAAAATAAGGTGGCAAGAGAAGGTTAAAAAAAACCTAGAACAGCAAATTTTGTGTTGCTAACTACAAGCATTCCTAAACCTTCACACAATATTTAAATTTAACAAGGTGAATAAGCAAGATGCACTATAATGGGTGGTAAAGAAGTAATGGAAGGATCAATTAGAGGTTGTACTCCATTAGGAGGTAACCCAGAAAAAGACCATTTCTTCTGAGTGGAGAACTATGATCTCTCCTCCAGCCTTGTTAACCCTGCTACATCAAGGAACAATTTCCTAATGGGGTTTAGTTTGAGGCATGCAGTTGGTAAGATAATAAAGCTTCATTAGGACACATTTAAAACCCTAGTAGCACATTTTTTTCTTTCAGGCAAAAAAAATCTAACAAAGCTAACACCCTAAGTAAAGCTTTTAAAGTATTACTGGATTTCTAAGTATGCTAATATTTGTGTCATTAAATACAATTTAAATAAAACCAAATGAACATTAAATGATGATGCAAAGCAGAAAAGGAAACAAAGCAAAAACAGTACAGTTAAACTTTATTTATGCAAATAAAGACAACTGGGCCAGTAGTTTCCTTTGTCTTTAACACATTTAGATGATATGAAGGCTGGCAGGAAAGTTTTTATGTTAGAACTTCGCTGGTTCAAAAAGAAAAAAAAAAAACAGGGACAAAACCTAACTCAATATAGTAAGAAGTAATATCATGATGGAGAACCGAACAAAATCATACAGATGGGAGCAGTATCCCACAAAGTAGAGTTCTTTGAAATAACTAGACTACAGGTCCTATGATGACTTGATTAAAATGAAGAAAATTTAAATGAACTGCTATGTCAGCATTTGAGAGGTTGAAAGAAGAGGTTAATTCTGATCTCATTTGACCTAGCTGTCTTGCAACATGTTTAGAAAGCTGACTGCATAGCAGAAGAGAAAACCATGGCTTGTAAGGTAAGTATCCAAGCCTATGACAGAAAAGAACAAGCCAGTAGACTGATATGACAGAAAAGAACAAAAGAAGAGTTTGAAAACTATTTGGCCCACAAAGATTTCCTGTTGACTCTTGAAAACTATCTATAGAACTGAGTTCTGTCCTCCAGGTCTGAACAGCTAAAGATTTCCCAGCAGTCTTAGAATTCAACCCTGAAGAAAGACCAAAAGCTGGCCCCTACAAAGGGGTGAGTAATCCTGAAAGTTCTGACTTGACTGTCTATTGGGGACTTATCACTTAGAGAGCTGCTTAACATCAGGAGAGCTCAGACAATATCACTCCCTCAAAACACAATTTAAAGGTGCAGGTGTGGGGGGGTGGGGAATAGAGACAGAAACCCAATTTATCAATGAAAAAATTCCTTTTTTAAAGACAAGCTTGATTGACAGTTATTTTATCAAAGTAATTAGGAGGAGAGAACTGCAAATGTTCATGCTATGTTTAGTAAAACAGAGTTTATTACATGATGCATGAGGAAACAGCAACCTTTTGAGCAGGTTAGTGTGGGAGAAGATGACTCAAGTAACTTATTTTAAACACATGCACACCCATCAGCACACCACCCCTTCTTATGCATCTGAAAGCCAAAGAACAACTGCAAGTTCCTCCACATGAAACAACTTCTGTTGCTACATACCATGCATGCCTCATGCACTCAAGTGGTAGAAGCAAATTTACATGCAGCCAAAGGTCCCACAGATGCCCATTCTAGCACTCTGGAGATACAGTATAACCTCACTAGAATGAATCCTGTTTATAAAAAACCCTTGCTTCTAACAGTCCCAACAGCAGGAACTGATTTTTTCATTATGATAATACAACAAATTGATTAACTCTATTACAGCAACTGTGAATCTTTAATTAACTTTTCTCCTGGTTCTATGAGGGTTTATTATAATGGGGTTTTATGGTATTTTAGAAGATCTGAGTTTTATTCCCAAGTTTTCTACAGATTTTCTTTGGTGACTTTAGGAAAGTAATTTATCTGAGTTCTTCGTCTGTAAAATGTGAATATTAATTTGCATCGTCTTCCACACCTTGTCTGCCTCATCTATATAAACTGTAAAATCTTTTGGGGCTAGGTATGACTTTCAGAGTAACCTACACAGAGTCAGCTACCCTTATAACTGTAGGACAAGATCCTCATCACAGCTGCATTCTCTTCTCTGCAGCTGAAGGCTGAAATAACATAAAGGGCATGTCCAGACATGCATGCAAATGCAGAAGCATGCATCTCCTGCAGCACAATTATCAGTAGCACATATTTGTGCTATTGCTTTTTGTCCTAGGGCATGACCCTACATGTGTGCTCCACCACACAGCATATTAACTTGGGTGGGGTAGGTGAGGCAACCTTACCTGGGGGCCTTCCAGGGCATCAGCGGCACCAATCCAGTCACTCAGAGCTTGGCCAGCAACCAGTGTGTCGCTCCAGCTGGCCAGGCTCTGTTTCTGGCAGCACGTGCTGCTGCCACTTGCACCATGCTTTTTTTTTAGGGGTGGGGTGTTTCTGACACCAAGATCTCCTAATGTCAAATTCTAGTGCTGTGCTGCAAATTAGCAGCATGACAAGTGGGTGCATGTGCCCTGTGTATGGTTTGTGGTGCCTCAAACAGCTTTGAGGTGCTGCAAACCACAAGTGTACACACATCTGGACATGCCCAAACAGTTTTAAAAACCTTGAATTAGAGCCATACAGGCTGTGTTCAAAAGAATCTCTTTACCCCATACCCCAACAAAGCAGGCTGCTGCAATTTTGGAAGGTCTTTAACAAACACCAGGAGCTGCAGGGCAGCCAAAAACAGAAAAGATGCAAAGGCAACTTAAAGCTACTACATCCCACTCCTGGACCACCAGTTCTGTTTGGCACTTCTAATCTCACCCCTAATGTTCAAAGAACAAACTATAAAGGTTCAGGGTGGAGTTTATTCTCTTCTGTACATGATCTTTTTTCTCAATGCCATTAACCGGCCAACATATGGGAATGGAAAAAAAAACCCTGATCTTGTGATATCTCCCTTTTATGAAAGGGACCTAAACTGAAAAATTCAACAGTGAGCAAGCAAACATCTAAAAATGTATGTCTTAGTAAACAGTAAGAAAACAATTATACAGACCTTGCCATACGGAGTCTCAATGTATTTTTCTGTTCTTCCTTCTAAGAGGTCAGGATCATCCAGACCAGTTCCACCTATAATTCCAATCTTACAAATAAGCAAACAAAAGCTCATATTAGAACTCTAGAAATCACACTGCATTTTAAATCTTACCTTCAGTTCCTGGTCCCCAACAAGGAATTTTTTTTTGAGTCATTCTTCTAGAAACGGCACAGAACCATGGACCCTAGAAGCACCAGTCATTATCATCAAAGCAGTTACCCCCAGAGACATATAGGTAGGTTTACAGGCAGACTTTAGATCCTATGCTATTTAATTTGCCAAATATAAGGTACTGACTATTACTTCCCTGCTTAAATAGAGATCCAATTAAAAAGCTATAAAAACAGCACAAAAAAAGAGTTACTGGTTAATCGTTTATCCTACCATGGAAAGAAAAAGACTCATATGCCACACTGTGGTGGTCACAAAAACTGGAACCAGACACATATAAATAACTTCCCAGCAGCAGCTGCTTCCAAGTTATATATGGAAAAGACAAGGAATCATTTTAGTGAATTGCCAACTAGTTAGATTTGACTGTCAGACCATTTTTTTGGCTGTGTGGCCTCAAAAAAAAATCTTACCAAGCTCCAAGGACCAAATGAAGCAAGCTACTGAGTCTTTCAAACCTATTTACTGCCCCACAGAAGGTCTTATATGAGGTCATACGATATACAACAATAAGACTGAGCACCAAGGCTTTGACTCAGAATGGAGGCTGAGGCCTAAGTTTTCCTCTCTTGACTACAATAAGCCCTTTCAACAAGATCAAGTGCCCACTGATTATTGGCAGAGAGCAAAGCAAATACTCATTACTAAACCAGTTAGACGGACAATTTCCAATAACTTTTGCATGTCAATCCTATTATATTGGTGTAATTATTTAAAATAATTACATCTAAATGTAAATAATAAAAATCAAATGACAAATTGTATTTGAAACAAAACATTTGGGTAGAGGTTGACTTATTTTGTTTCTTTGAAAATTTTTTTATAGTAAATTTATTTCCAACAATGGAACGAAAAGATAGTCAAAATGTTAGAATTTCCTGCAGAACGGAAATTCTGACTTTTGACCAGCTCTAAATAAACCAGAAGAGGAAATGGGGAAGATGGGAGAAAATATAATCTACTGCACAGTAAAATAAGGCCCTTACCTATCTGTCAGCCACAAACCCTATATACCCTGAACACCAAAATCTGTCCCTAAGATTTGAAGGTACTTTGAGACCACATGTTCAAATCCAGAAACTGCTTTCTCTTGGGCTGGAACTCTCCCACTTTACAGTAAGAATACACACCAATCATTTGCCTTCAGGAAGTCCTCCAATACCTTCCCACAATTCCCTGCAAAAGGCAGACAAGTTCTCTCATGTTATTTTAGAAAAAAAATGAGCATCTGAGTACAAATGACACATCCAGGTAAGTATAAAAACAACAAGCATACATGGGTACAGCTTTTCAGTGAGGACATCTGCAATACCACATCACAGCAGTGTGCGTTTTGCTATCAAGCAATCTTACGCAAATGCAAAGATCTAAAGAAAGCATCCATGTTTCTATTTCCTGATTCTATATGTGGTTTTCTGTAGGGGAACAGTTTTCATAAACCCCACAAAGGCATCTTCAGCTAGTAATAATATGAAAAATATAATTAAAATTCTGCTCAGGATGTGAAAAAACAAAACAAAACCCCACCACTAGGTACTGGTGCAGTCTGACTAGAGTCAACTAATTCCAGCATAGAATTTCTGACAACTATGGAAAATGTGTTTAGCTTTACAGAATATAGCAAGAAAGAAAGTTGTTTCTTAGTCTGGATTCCCCCAGCACACATCTTTGGTTTTTTGGAGGTTGATGCAATTGCAACTTAGGTCAGATCAGGCTCTTGCAAAGGCTATTTTTTTATTGCACAATGCAGCTTACAGACAGCAAAATACAAGCACAGTCCCAAACACTCCACGGCCTTCTAAAACCAAAAGTAGATTACAAGACTTCCGGTTATTGTGAGTACCACATGGTGACCTGCCTATTGGGGGCCACATAGCTGTGGTCACGAGCACTGCGCCCAAGCTAGTTGGCACTGTGCTAAGTCATGTGATGCTGAGAGATGGAACTAATTTGCTGGCCTGCCTGCACTGATATGCAAATGCAGTTAAGGAAGTAACCCCATGACTACTTCCGAATGCGGAAGTGATATAGCCATTTTCCTCGGCACCATGAACTATTATGCAGATCTAGATGAGGCTGGACCAGAGCTGAAGTTTTCAAGCAAGGTTTGAGTACTGCCTCTTCTCTTTATTAACAACTAGACTAATGGCAGCCTTGAAATTAATGGCTGTTGGTCAGTTTTATAGCCAGTAATGCTACAGGGGCTCCTGACTAGCTCCAAATATCTAATTGCTGAGTCCATACTGCTGTAATGTTACCTGTGAGCATGGCACCGCCTGGTACTGATCTAGACCAATTCTTCAAATTCAGGACAAAATTGTTGTTTCAGGAAGGCCTGGGAGGGAAGCAGGGGGACAGGGACACTAAGATTCCCAAAATTCAGGCTCATCCCAGCGTATCCAAGGCAGTTGATTGCTTTACTTTGATAAAAACACTACCATTTAAAAAATAATTTTTGCTATCAGTTATACACAGCAAAAAGCTTGCTGCTTTTTTAATTGCTGGTTACTGTTGCAAGGACTGTTTCAGTTTTAAGTGGAGGAGTTTAAATCATCCTGAGCTGCTACAATGTGAATGACAGGCCTGTTCTGTCACCACAGTTGCAAAGCTCTCTCAGAGCAGTTAAGGATCAGTAGCTTTTAAATAAAAAATAAAACATATACCCATGTCCAGCAAGCAGAAATCCCAATAATCTGAATTTTAAACAAGACAACACTCTATCAGTCTCTTGATTTCTGCAACCCTGTGTTTATAAGCCTCACTAACTCTTTTTCTATGACCATTAGCTCATTGGACATCTTTTTTTTTCAATAAACAGAATGCATGTTTTTCACTAAGTGCCAAATACTCTTCTATGAAAAAGCCTCACACAGATGATGATGGGAACCATACTTCCGTCATTTTAACAAGATACCCTTCTCCTTTTGGCACCATCTTGTGCTCCTGTTTGTTAGTGCATCCTCACCACAACCCTTAATGCATTTGATGTAGAGCAGGTTTACAAGAAAAAAACCCACAACAGATGTGTTCAAATATTTTTCATAAAGTGGGATATTTGTGTCTGGTGTTAGGAGTATGGGAGGGAGGAAGGAACACCTGTTTCTTCATGAAAATAATCATGACTCCTGAAAGCTGGAATTTCTGTGTGAATTATGTACCTGAAAATCTATACCTAGAGTGTGTTATAGAATATTTGTTATTTAAAATTCGAATACACTAGTCATCCTAATATGGAATAGAAGTACAACAATGCTACTTAAGGTCTAAAAAAAACCCCCAAAAAACCCCACAACCACTGAAAATTGTTCAAGTATGCTACTTAGCAAGTACCAGAAGAGTAATTAATATATTGCAAAAAATCAAGATAACATTTTTATTATTCTTTGATATTCTAAAAAAGCCCACAAAAGGGCAAATTACTGAAGTTACTGAGTATTTTGTTTTTAAACCACATAGCTGACACCAAAACTAGTCCTCAATTTGCAGAAATTGTAAAATGAAATGCAGCTCAATTTCTTCCCTCAATGCTTAGGAAAAATAAAAGCAGCTGTAAAAAAGAAAAAAAGAAAGATCTTTATTAGGAGACAAATTACAAAGGCCTCACATTTTGCATGTAAACTTTCAAAAAATATACTTTATTCAAATCTTTTAAAAATGGTTAAGGCAGCCTGCTTAACCTCTTAAGTTTGGGTCTAATTTTTGTTTATCCCCTCAGATGCAACTGCAACTGCGTCAAGGTATTCGTATGGCTCTTATCACACCGGGGGAAGAGAGGGGGCACTGAACAACACCCCAAAGATTTAACTAGAGCCAAGATAAGTCAGGAAGTATTCTGGTAGGTATTATGCCCATTTTTACAGTGGGGAACCGAGTGCAGGTAATGGTGCAATGGGATCCACTGCATGATCCACACAACTGAACCTCCTGCCACACCACACATGCACAGCAGGAGGTGTGATCGTGGGATCCAGCATCAGATCCTATCACATCTTATTGCCAGTACAAACCTGGGATTGCCACCCCACACTCCCCCTGCACTGGCAAATAGGATTCAGGCCCAGCTGCAGCTCACATGTAGCCAGAGCCCAGTCCCACAGCTGACTGGAATGACCCCTGGCTGTGCCCCACATCAGCTACAGGACGTACCCCTGGCAGCTGTGGGGACACAGGCTACCCATGCCAATTAAAGCTGGACCAAAACCAACTGTGAAATCATTACACATTCTCCAGCAATAACTTCCTAGCCAAACGGACCTTGTTTTAAGACACCAGCATTAAAATGCATGCATAGCCGGCCTAAATGAATTGCACCATTACCCAGGCAACGCGCAATACATGTAACGGCACAACACACGGAACAGGGTCGCAGGGACCAAAGGAGCGGGTTCTCCTGCCTGCAGAGGGCGTCGCAGCGGCCGTCTGGACTCTTAAGCCGAGTCCCATTGCACTGGGTCCCTGGAGGGCTGCCCCAAGCCTTGCTCTCAGCTGTCCCTCTGAAGCCACAAAACCGCGGGGAGGAGGAGGATCCACTGATTCCCTCCCCTTTTGGCAGGCTTTTCAGCAGGTTCATAGCAAAATAGGGCCGGAAAGGACCTCATGAGGCCCTGCTCCCGTGACAACATCCTGACTAACCCGGGTTGGTACCGAGGGAAGGACGGGCTGCTGCTTCCCTGTTCAGCAGTGGGCACCCACCCCGGCAGCCTGTGGGCACACATCATCACCCCGGTGCTGCGCTACTGGAAAGAAACGCCAGGGTGGTTGGGGCAGGGCGGATGCTCCCTGGGGCTGGGAAGCTCTGCCCTGCAGCCCTGACTCGTCCCCACGAGCAGCCCCACGCAGCCCAGGGCCGGAGGCTCCGCGCGCCGCTCCCGGGGAAAGCGGCACGTGGGGCCCCGGGCTGCTCCCGCCAGGCCCGCGC